ATCTCCAGTGTTTCCACGCTGTTTAGACGAGCTGCAGAGCTCTGCAGACCATCGCAATTCCTGCATTCCAGCTCAGCTGGCAGGGCTGCTCCGTTTTCCATTACACAGGCTGGGGCTGCAGAGCTCTACCAGCAGCACAGCAATCCCAATGGACTGTACTCCTCCTCCATGCTTCCCTTCCAGTTCCCTCTCATCAGTTGCCTGCACTTTGTTCAGTAGACTCAAGTTTCACCTTCAGAAAACTTATTATTATTACGGCAGTGTTTAGAAAGTGGCTCTGTTGTGCTAAGTATTTTACAAGCACAGTAGTGAAGGGAGTTCTTTGCCCCAAGGGTTTCTGCCTTTGGTAAGAGAAGGTTAATAGGCAGGTTAAGCAAACAAGGCTAGGGGTACGAGAACGGAGTCAGCTCCATCCTCCCACCCAGGTGGCACGTAGCAGCAGGAGAGTCACACTAACAGCAAAGCATGGGGAACAGACTCTCACAGTTGACCCTTCTGCTTTTTTTAAAAAAAATCCCAGTCATGATTGCAGTCAATTAAGTTTCACAAACATCCAGAGATATCCCAAACAAAAGCCAAGTTAACAAGTTATTCTTGGATTTGAGAAATATTATGAGAGCTTCATGCTAGTCAAACTTTGCTCTCTCATAAGATAGCAAAAAAATACACATATGAAAGTAATAGACCCTACTCCCATTTTTCAAGTGCTTAAAACAATCATGGCACTAAGTGAACACTCAAAGCTTCATTTTAAGTAAACAAGGGTTGGGAGAACGTTAGCAGAGGAGCAGCTGTAGCCAAGAGTACTAATTTTTCTATATTCATAGAGGGAATACCGCATCAGCTCTGCAAGACTTCTGCCTTTTTCATTAGACTTGCTTCTAATGGCATCAACAGAGTACAAGGAAACCTGATGTTCCTTCTTCCCTTGAAGGTCAGCGAGATATTTAACTGCTTGTGCTCCCTATTACTCCAACGTGCAGATAACTTGAATATGTTAATGACCACCATTTGGGGATCTCTTCAAGGAATGTTCCAAAGACTTGCTCAGAACTTGAGCCACAACCAAAGATTATTACAAACTCCAATTCCAAACATTAATAAGTGCTAGGGTGCTAGAAATGTACCAGTCGAAGAAACTGCAACTAACTCACATCATCTTTTAGTTCACACAAGGCACCCTCCTGCCTGGATGTGGGGTTGCAGAAGTGGGGAGGAAAGCTCAGCTTTTCAACCCTGCTTGCTTCGAGAGATGGAAATATACCTATAAAAGTATATCCTTCAGATTTCCTCCTCCTCTGCCACAAGACATAGTCTTTCTAGTGAGAAAGCAAGCACTGTGCTTTCTTTTTCATTTAGCTTTGCTTTAGGTAAGTAGAGAAAATACTGTGGTAAACATACCCTGGAGATACTGACATTACTGCATTAGGAGTCCTTCACATCAAGTTATGATTTCAAATATTTTTAAGAAAAATGCCAGCATAAACAGAACTGTAAAAAGCTCTTTCACTTGTTTCCTTCTCTGCGTCCTCTGTGCAAGTCTACCACTTTGTATACAAGCTGTTAGTGAGGGAGACAGATCATAGGGAAACAGTGATTTGGGGTTTCAACTCAAACACCACTTGCAACAGTCTCTGCCTAATCTCTCGCTATTTTGTTTTCAGGAATTTTGTCCAGTCTCACTGAACTCATTCTATTTGCTTTTTCTTTTCATACTCATGCATTTGTAACTTCATTGATCACTGTTTGTCAGCAGCATTCATTGCTGAATGCAAAATTAATAATTAATGCCTTTCTGCTTATCACAGCAGCTTTGTGCTCTGTAAAAACTTATCAGAGAGGTCTTATGAAAGCAAAATCCATTAAATCATTTAATTGCTTATAGTTTTCAAAAGCAGAACTGTAGCAGAGGTTAGTAGACAATTCACCTCTTGAATTTCTATTGCCAGTCAATGCAACTTTTTTATGGGGTGATGGCACCCACATTCAACAGAGGTTTCAGAATGGTGGTGTACACCTTCCTGACTCAGCAATCTGTGAGTCACATATGGCCTTCACAGTGTTCACCTTGAAAACCTGCTATTCTTTGCTATTGATTTTTTCAACTACAAAAAATAACTTATGCAGTAAGCAGTAAAGTCTGCAGAAGTCTGTAGACTCCTCTTCAAGACAACTCCCATCTGACGTGGATGTGAGACCAGTTGTCCTTTCCCAGCAGTCTTTGATTCATCCACTGAAGCATGGAAGCTTCCTCTCTGATCACAAATTAAGGTTTCTACAGACAATATTTAGGCATGTGCAATCCTGATTACATCTGCAGATCAGGACTATTTAATATACTATCTAATAAGGCATAAATCCAGTGAAATGCAATCACATACATACCTATATCACAGGTAGATCTAGAAGCTCACAAAAAGCTTCTAAGTCTATTTAACTCCCCTTTTCACAGAAGCTTTATAATCTGGTGCCTTATTTATATAAATTTTCTGTATGGGCTGTTCTCAGTGGTACTGAGTACTCAGGTACAGCAAGTCTAAGTGCCAAATCAATGACTGACAAAAAAAATGAAAATATGTTTTTCATAGTTTGCTGGCAAAAATATGCTATTCTTGCAGCAGTAAATTCTTACTTAGTTCAGTGAAACTCTTTCAGTGCTACTAAATTACCTGTAATGGTTATTTAGTTCCTCTTAGATATTTACCATTGTTCCACATCCACCCCCGTGCATTAATCTTTGCTTTTAGTTCAGAGCCAGCAGAGTGTTTTTGTATTATGCTATCATAATATTTAATCTTAGGTTGGAAATCTGAAAAGGTAGGAATTTCTGCTTTGTTGTTATTTTGTTTGTTTGGGTTTGTTTTTTGTTTTTTGTTTTTTTTTGGAAGGGGGGAGGGAGGGGAAGGTAAGAAAGTCAGAAATCCTATTTAGAGTAAATTTTCTACACACACACGTACACACCCTTAAATTTCTCCACTTCTCTCTCACCACAGGCAACATTTCAAAGGTATCTGTCATTAAGATATTTGTACTTGCACAAGTAGGAGCAAACGAGGATAAGAGAAGGGAAGAGCAAATGTTTTAGGAAAGCAGAATGTGAATGTTTTCCACTGGTCAAGTAGAATAGGATTTAAGCAAGACTTTTGCTGTTTCCCACCTTAATAATGCTAATTCATCAAAAGAGAGTCAGTAATCCCTCTCAGTTGTTTCTGCAGAGCAAGCAGAAACATCGCAAGACTGTAAAAATACTGTAACTAGGAACAGGACTTCATAAAACTAAAATCCAGTTCTTAAATATTATTAAGATTGTCACATCTCCATCTTTAGGACTTATTTAATCCAGCAGAGTAAATGAAGCGGTGGGGGTAGGTTAAGCCTCCAGCATCCACATTTCAATATTTTGTGTACAGTTAAAAAATAAGAATCAAAAGAAATATTTAAATTCCTGAGAATATTCCTCACCAGATTATAAATATTTTTATGAGGTCAGATCAAAAGCTTAAACTAATCAGTAGGGGTTCCCCTGAAGCCTTTACATCAGTTACTTCGATGGAAAACTACCTTCAGGGTTGAACATACCTTTCGGCAAAACCTAAATAAATAATAATAAAAAAATAACTTACTGCATGCCCAGTAATGGGGGGAGGAGGCAGGAAGAACAGATGGAGGAATTTCAGAAATTTATTAATTGCTGCTTATTCAACAACAAAAAAAAATTTCCTACTACTTAATATTTATTTATGGTCACTGTTTTAAATAAACCTAATCAAGTGGCTTAGGGAAAACCAAAGTACAAAGGTTTTTTTCTTTTTACACAGTGCATTGACCCCTATTCTCATTATAAGCAATAAATGTTTATGAGCATTGGTCATCAGGTCACTGAAACTACACGTTTTATTTAGTTTTCTATCCACATACCAAGAAACTCCAAGGACCACTGTATAACCTGGAATCAAGCACTTCCTCCTTCACCCCATACACCAAATGTCTCTTTTGTTTAAGTAGCTAGTTTTTTGATTTTTTTTTTTAAATGATACTGACAGCTATTTCATCACCCATAGATTAAAACCAGAACAAAATCATTGTAAGAGAAGAAAAACTATTGTCACTTCACCCTGTTATGTAGTTACTTTACTACAGATTCATCTTAACTGGTTTTATTTCTTGGAAAAAGCATTCAGCTGTAATAAATCAGTAGTAAACACTTTCTTTACTTTTTTCCTTTTTTTTTTTTTTTCCTCTTCTATCATCAGCTCTTTAGAACTTTAGCACTCCGCTGTTTCTGCATTTATAAACATCCCCTTCACTATCTATTTAACCAAAAAGGAAACTCAGATCTAATTTTTGTTAAGAGACATTTGAATTGAATTGGTATTTGAAATGTTCAAATAAAAATAAGGAGGCCTTTAACATATTAGACTTCTTCCCTCCCTCTAATACCCAAACAAACCTTTACCAGCTGCACATGGATAAATTCACCTCTCTAGCTAATGAACACTACGATCTCACAATGAGTTTAAGTTGCATTTTCAGTTTGAACTGAATCAGATAATTACCATGCACTAGATATAAGAAAAAAAAAAAAAGTTCCTATTCATTATGAGATGCACAATTGGTGCTTGCCCAGACAATGCACTGGGGAGCTGCAACACACTCCTTTTCTGGTACCATCCCTTTCCACAGAAGCCAAAGTGTGAGGATGGAGGCCCCCTCACCATCTTCTTCATGGGGTCCAGCAGGGGATGACCAAACTAATGTTTCATGACACTAATCTACAGATGTAGAGGAGAAGAAGAAAGGGAAGTTTTAGAATGCTTTCCTCTGCTCTAGGGTGTAAGTCTTTTTGATTAGAGCTGATTTTTTTTTCCATCATGAAAATTAAGCTGCGGATAGTCCATAAAATTGTGTACTTAACAGCTATAACAGTAGCTTTTTTTTTTTCTTTTCTTTTTTCTTTTTCCCTTCTTATTCAAGAGCTTTTCTTCTCATGGTAATCATACCTGAAAGCAGATATACAGAGATGAAGTTCTTCTCCAGTTTGCCCAGGAGCACAGTAAGAAAGCAGTCAGGTGAGAGAGAGGTCACATCTTTAGAGCTTTGGTCATATACTACTACTTCCTGCTTGCAATCAATTTCAATCTGAAATATAAGTAATTGAGGGTAAGACAGGGAAGAGGAAGATGATTAAAAAACCCACCATATTATCATCTGCATGAAGTCAGGCTAAGGGTTCCTATATGTTTGCTGTGCAGCACTTCAGATACATAGGTTTCATACATGGCTGTATGCACATCAATTTGTATTATTAGCTAGTTATTTTTTTTTCCTGATCAAGTGTACTTCCTTTGAGACTTCTTGTATTGATTATTTCCTCTAAGTTGAAGCATACACTACAAATTTCAACCACTGGATAACTTTATGTCACCTGTTAATGCTTTACCTTCAGCTGGGTTTATTTTTTTTTCAAACAACAAATGTGTTTCTTTAAAAGAAGATCCAATCTCATTTCCTACTTCAGTATTTTTCATTTACAAATACAAGAGATCTTAAACTGCCTAAACCACACACATTTCAGCCATCAATAAGAGCATATGTATAAAACACACAAACTAAGAAAAAGGCTTCAACTTTTAATATGTGAAAGCAAGAACATAGTATACAGATTATTTCTGTCATCCAAAATATTTGAAACAAGTACCAGTGGATTACAGATATATATAAAAAAACAACCACTGGATAGTTATGTTTAAACAGATTAGTTATTTTCTTTTTGCTCATAACTATTTAAAAACCCATCAGACTATTCACATTGAAAGCACTTTAAACAGGAAGCAAGAGCCAGGATTGACAGAGCTACAGTTTCTTTCTGAACTGTATGACCTCTTGCTCGCAATCCTTATCACCACAGGGCCCAAAGAATCCTTCAAAGTTTAGAATGTGAATGCTTACTGCATTCACTGCATACACTTCAGAGACTGTGATCTACATGATTTACAAGAATACTTGTTAATTTTAAGATCCCTGCATGTTAATCTGTCATTCAGACACTGCTACTAAGTATACCAACGATAAAACTCGTGTTAACTGACAGTAAAGTCTTGGCAAAACTGAACCTCCCCCATATATTTTTTTTTCCCCTCAAACTAAAATGCCTGAAATAAGTTGCTCTCTGGGCACATTTTTAAACCAATAGAAAGAATAACAGGAAAATACCCCCTACCTTGTGTTTTGCTGAATGCTGAATGAGCTCTGTAATCAAAACTTTGTCCTGCTGCAGCCTCCGCTTCATAAGCTTCGAGCAGTTGATATTGATGGCATCCAAGATGTGGGACGTATTGTATTCCACAAAGGGGCGGCTGTCAATCAGCAGCAATTTTTCAGTACCACTCTCCAGCAAAGCCACCAACTTCTCGGCGACAATGAGTTGAGTGCTGATCATCTCATCGGCCATGACAACAATGAGGCCTCTTTCACCACCTCCCTCTCTAATTTGCTGCAATGATGTAATGGCTGTGTACTCAAAGGCTTAGCCACAGCATTGTACTAGAAGTGTATGAGGTCATGCTGGTAGTGACTGGCAAAAGAAAAGTTAAACCCATTTTCAGAAAGAGCTCTTCAGCTGAATGTCTCCTCCTGCTTCCAGTTGATGTGCCGTTACAAAGGGCTCATTCCACAGAGCAACCCTTCACATCTGATTCATCAGGAGATGACTGGAGTAGCCATTGCACAATTCTCACAAAAGATGCTTTCTGGCTGCCGCTGCATTACATCATTCTTTACCTTTGCTCCCAACCATCATCTTTACACTGGACTGAGAGCCTGCAAGAAGGGGAAGATTGAAAAAAAAAAAACATAAACCAGATGAGGCTATGAAGCATGCAGAACAAAATGTTCACCGTTGAGGCTAACTGCACAGCAGTCTGTACCACATAATAAATACACTCCTGAAAAGTTCCCCTCTGCTGAAGATTCCAAACATCTGAGAGTGAGAATTTACAACTACAGTGTTTGAATCTATTCCAACAATCTTGCCTTCACAATTTTATTGTCTTTAAGGCAACATACCCTGCCTTAATTGCAGACTTTTGTTGCCATTACCTCTCCCTCTTCACAAGACTTGTTAGAATGTAATTAAGAGACACTATTCTAAATCTGTTATTCCTTTCAAGAGCAGAATGAGTTAGATGCATTTCAGCACTTCACCATTTAAGTAAGAAGTAAAAACTTACGATACATTTTTAAAATGTAATGCCTTGGAAAGCATTTTGCAGACCAGCTCTGCAAATATAAGAGCAGAAACAAAGGAGAGGACAACAAGCTTACATCCATGTTTCTCTTCTGAGAATATGGTTGAAGAGAAACATAAGATGGTACATCAGGATGCATATATTTTATTTGAATTAATCACGAAACTTGAAACAGAGGTGTTTTAAACACACTGCTGCAAGGTATGGTACTGAGCACAGTCTCTGGGCCCTCTGGAGCCCATGGGATCATTATGTGAAGTGCATTTTTCACACATGCTAATAGTAACTGAAGCAAACTACAGTTTTGTGAAATTAGACCCTGACCACTTCAACCTAAATGGTACATCAGTACAGCAGTAAATAGTCTACCTGAGACATTTCATCATCCAATAATAGCACTGACTTCGGTTGTACAATCCCCCAAGATGGAACGCATCTCTGCAGGAATACACCTGAGGAACAGCCACCACAGTGGCTTACCTTCCAGTTCAGTGCATTTTGTGCTAAAACTATAGAACCTATAGAAAGCAGAAGTCACCTGGCTTTCCTCCCCATTCAGCAGAACTTGGTTTCTCAGTGTAATTGTGCATATTTACATACAGCCATCTATATAAGGCTACAAACTGCAGCTCCAGAGCACAAGCCCCACAAGACACTTCAGCTCCTCCAAAAGGAGACAGCCCAGTATGCTGGCTTTTTCAGCTGCGGTGGTGGTGCTCACATGTTGGAGCCTTTACACTAAAGCATTAACCCAGTAAGAGCCCCTCACCTCATTAGTATGGCAGCTTGGTTTGGAATGAACAATCTGGGCTCAAGTCAGAGCTGGCTAAAGCCAAGAAAGTACATTTACCAAATTGTGCGTTTCACACCACAACATTCCCTGTCTGAGAAGTGATTTTAGGTCAGCAAAACTATGCAACACCTCTCACACAAGAAAGTAGACACTCCAGCAACTCATATGTCAACAGTGGCCCATGCTATTTAGCTTGAGACCCAAGCAGTCTTTCTACCTTTGCCTTCTGCTGGCTGGAACAAATTAAAGTGACTCAACAAACTTCAGTCACAAAGATAGAAATGTGATTCACTGACACTCTTTCTTCAGGCAGTGACACATTTGCAAACAGGAGCATATCAGGAAGAGACATTTTCGTGGATTCCTAATGTACATAGAAGTACATAAGAAGATTTTTTAAAGCAGATTTTCAACATGCAGAATTTTCCATTCTCACTTTAACAGGCTCATTTAAAAATTTTTGCACTTTATTTGTAGAGTTGACTTATTGTTTCACTTCCAAATGATTTCATTCATTTTAATTTTTACTAAAAGTCCTGTTATGGCAAAAGACAATTGTATTTAGCAGTTAGAAATTTGAAATCAGCAGATATTTTATTTATCAGAGATAATATATAAACCTACATGTATGAATTCTCAAATGAATTAAGTTTATAACAATAGCATACTTCACTTTCACAATAAATAAATAAATTTTAAACAGGAAAATTATAACAAACTTAATTCCACATTTCAACAAATGCAGAGTTTTATGTACCCATGTTCCCTGACTACTACTATTATAGTACCACTAACGATTTTAAGCTTATTCCAATAATTGGCAGCATATAGCAAGGAAATGTATATTGCTTTCACCTACAAAATATATTGGAAAACGTACTGTCCCAAGCCTTAATTAAGCCTATTAAAGCTCCCTATCTTTACAACTTGATTGGAAAGTGTGCTCCTCCTCAAAGAGCAATCATTATTTACTAGCCTTGGGCTCCTTGCAGACAGGGTGAAAGGTATCAAAAGACTGCACTATTATGTAGAGGGGAAAAAAATGAAGCTCCATAATTGTATTTTTATTTTAAGGAAAGAAAGAAAAAACATTCTGCGTTTTTTTTTTTGTTTTGTTTCTCCTTAACATGTCCTGTCATGAATTGTGAATCTCTCTCTTTCTTTTTTATTTTTTATTATTTTTTTTTTTTTCCCTGAGAGAGATGTTTACTGCATCAGAAGCTGCCAGATAGTAAGCCCACTGAAATTAATGAAAACTTTTCCACTGGCTATAGTGGGAATTGGCTCTAGCTTCTATGAGCTAGACAGTTTGTTCATGAACTAGACAGTTTGTTTTGATGGGTAAAATGCTGACTTAAAGTAACAAAAGGAAAATAAAGCAGCTGAGGCTCTAGAAACCACAGAATATCAAAATGGAGGCTATTAGAAATATGTAATCTGTAATTTGCAACTTTCAACTTGGGTATATTTTTTATCTCCTAAGCACTTTTTGCTTGCTGTCACACCCTTCCCTCTCGGATGACAATTTCAGTTTGTTTCAGAAATCCCTTAAAAGAACTGAAGTCTAAATGGAGGCCAGTGGTGAGTGGTGCCTCCAGGGGTGTGCCCTGAGATAGGTGCTCTTCAACATCTCTATCACAAACAGTGACTGAGTGCACCCTCAGCGGCACCCTCAGATTTGCTGATGACACTAAGCTGAGTGGCGCAATTGATACAACAGAAGAATGGGAAGCCATCCAGAGAGACATGGACAGGCTGCAGAAGTGAGCCATGTCAACCTAATGGGGTTCAACAAGGCCGAGGGCAAGGTATGGCACTTGAGTTAGGACAGTCCCATGTAAGTACACACACTGGTAGAAGAACTCATTAAGAGCAGCCCTGCCAAGAAGGACTTGTGTTTTCTGATGGATGAAAAGTCTGATGCAAGCCAACAGTGTACACTCTAAGCTGGGAAGGCAAACTGCATCCTGGGCTGCATCAGAAGACAGGTGGCCAGAAGGGTGAGGGAGGTGACTGTACACCTCTGTTCTGCCCTCATAAGCCCCCACAGAATCACAGAATCACCCGGGTTGGAAGGAACCTCAAGGATCATGTAGTTCCAACCCCTCTGCTTAGCAGGGCCACCAAACGTACACATTCAGATCAGGTTGCCCAGGACCCCGTCCAACCTGGCATTGAACACGTCCAAGGACGGGGCATCCACAACCTCCCTGGGCAGCTCGTTCCAGGGCCTAACCACTCTCCTTGTGAAGAACTTCCCCCTAACATCCAACCTAAATCTTCCCTCCCTCAACTTGGATCCATTTCCCCTAGTCCTGCTGTTGTCAGCCCTTCTGAAGAGTTTACTCCCCTCCTGGGTGTAGGTTCCCTTCAGGTATTGATAGGCTGCAATGAGGTCACCCCGCAGCCTTCTCTTCTCCAGGCTGAACAAGCCCAACTCCCTCAGCCTGTCCTCATAGGGGAGGTGCTCCAGCCCCCTGATCATCTTAGTCGCCCTCCTCTGGACCCTTTCCAAAATCTCTATGTCTTTCTTGTACTGAGGGCTCCACACCTGGACACAGTACTCCAGATGGGGCCTCACAAGAGCCGAGTAGAGAGGGACAATCACCTCCCTCTCCCTGCTGACCACCCCTCTCCTGATGGAGCCCAGGATCCCATTTGCCTTTCGAGCTGCCAGAGCGCACTGCTGGCTCATGTTAAGGGGCCCCACCTGCATTACTGCATCCAAACCTAGAGCTCTCAGAACTAGAATTATGTAAAGCTGCCGGAGCATGTCCGGAGTAGGGCAACAAAATTATCAGAGGACTGGAGCACCTCTCCTACAAAGAAAAGTTGAAGGAGCTGGGCTTGTTCAGCCTAGAAAAGGATTCAGGGAGATCTCACTGTGTCCCTCCAGTACTTAAAGGGAGCTTATAAACGGGAGGGAGACCAGCTTTTTACACAGTCTGATAGTAATACGACAAGGCGGAACGTCTTTGAAGTAAGAGGGGAGATTTAAATTAATTGTTAGGAGGAGATTTTACTCAGCAGGGTGATGAGACCCTGGAACAGGTTGTCCAGAGAAGCTGTGGATGCCCAACCTCTGGAGTTGTTCAAGGCCAGGTTGGATAGGGTCCTGGGCAACCCGATCTAGTGGGTGGCAATCCTGCCCATGGCAGGTGGGTTGGAACTAGGTAATTGTTAAGGTCCCTTCTGATCTACGCCATTCTATTACTTTATCATAGTATGGTTACTAGGTAAAAGAACGCGTTTCTTAATGAAAATGGGCTACCAGTTAAAAGTCCTCTTGAATATCACTATTACTTTAACATTTAGCTATGTATTAACACAGTGGAAAGCTTCTCTGCCCATGGCTTGAAAGTAATAAACTTAACAGTAATGTCATCTCAAATTACTGTGGTTGATAAAAATGTTGTTCCTCTCCAGCCCAATGGAGCTGATCCTGTCAAAACAGTATATCAGTTATAGGTTTTTGTTCTCTCAATTTCTGGGACTATCAGACTTTTGGACTCCTTCTTGGGACCAATCTAAACAAGAGAAACTGGCAGTCTCCTGTTTTGGGTAAACACTAGAGATCTCCTCCCTTTCCTGGCAAGTGCTTTTATCATCCAGCTGTTAAGAGGTGTTGAAATATCTGTTTCATTTCAATCATTGTTTGTAAAAAGGCCAAACTTAATTTCTCGACTCTTTTCTTTCTGTGCTCTACTTGTGATTTAGATTGCAATAGTATGTACTGGCACCATGGCTTCACAAGATTATGCAATATAATGTCCTGGCCATTATGTGGCTGATCTTCAAACTAGGAAACCATCTTAGCCACAGGATGTTCTACACTGAAATCAGTTTTGAGAAAAAGTGAAACGTAGCCCAGCTATGAGAATACTGAATGAAGTCACCCATTGGTGATACTGCAAGGCTTCTTTCTCATTCAGATGGACTGAGGTATACAGCACTGTTTCTTACCTCTTTTAAATAAGAAAATTAAACCTTTAACTCCCTATAAAGCAAGAGATGGATCCATGCTTGCCCAAAATCTTTACAGATATCTCCAGAATATTCTTTCCTATAATCAGATTCACTTTCATATTTTTCAAAATGGACACCAACACAAAAAGAAAACCAAAAGCTAAACCAGGACACAGAGCTATGAGTTTCTAAACTGCAGTACACATGCCACTGTGGGCACATCAGCTGTTCCTAAAGGAATACTGGGCTTCAGTTTTAGTGAGCAGAGAGGTGCCAGTGGTTCAATAGCTGGTGCCTTGACAAGCAACACCATTCACTGTATGTGATACTGAGCAAATAGGCCCACACAACCTCCTGCATCAGAGAGGAATTCCCAATCTAGGGGTCACATTAATTAGGGGTTAATTAATTAAAAACATAGGGGTTAATTATCACTCACTTGATATTTTTCTTCCAACATCTCAGCAATGCCTCAGCACTGCCTCACCAGCCTCAGAAAGACAGAAATAAAAGAAGAGATGCTTGTCACTTAAGCTACTAGAGACTGAGTGAGCATCAAGGACAGGGTGAGATCATCCTTGATCTCACTTCAGATGATTATCTGTAGTGAGAAACAGAAAGTGTTTATGAAGCATAAGGGAAATAAGATCTCTAGTAAAAGTAAGGGACAGAAATGCTTCCCCTGAATTCACCAAACATGCTAATACATTCCAAAGACAACAGTTGTGCAATAAAGTGTGAAGTTTGGGAAAAAAATGTAACAGATTACAAGAAACCCATGTCTTGCTTGTCATTATAGAGACCACACAGGAAAGAGATTACAAACACTTGTAATTTAAAAGATGAGCCTATTAATAAAGATGCAAGGGCTCATGTTCATCAGCTGAGGAGACTGAGGATGTATTTTAGCTGTTCAGCTGACTTAAGCAAATGTCTTCCAAAAAAAAAAAAACCCACCTTCTACATAGATCATTTTCTCAGATCAGCTGGGAGTGGTAGAACAATGACAGTTTCCTTCCCTCCCCAGCACACTCTAGTGCAATGGCAGAGTGTACTGAGGACACCTTTCAAACAGCAACATACACATTTTTTTATTCACTTAGAAAATGCCACTGAAGTACCATCTTCAAAAAAGAGAAGCAGATTTGAGAATATCACCCTACTTTTCTTTGATTCTTTGTATGATCAGGGTGGCTTCTCCCTACTGTCTTTCTTCCAGGGATCTGTTCTTTAGATCTGTATACACAACCAAAATGTGTCAGTAACAATTTTCTTGCAGAAACAGTAGCCATATGCATTTTAGATTACACACTGTACTCTCGTGAATAAGCCAAGTATAATCCACTGGAAAAAACACATGAAGAAGAATTTTCTGTTCAGTGGTCTATTGTCTTTCATTATACTTCACTGAGTCTGTTTTGATTACTAGTTCTAAAGAAAAGTCACTCAATTTAATTGTGCTCACCCCAGAGAACTGAGACATCGAGAGATGGAGAAGGAAAAGAAATCAGTTTCCCAAGAGTAAAGTACACAAATACACCTCCAGTTTAGATTTTTAAGTTCTTTGTTTCTACGTCTATTGCTCCATGACATTTTCAGTGATGGAACTTTCAGAGAGCTGGGCTAAGCATGATAAACAGAATTTCCATGTAGGAACCAGTGAGCTATTGCTTTTTATACAAATAATAGTGATAGAAATAAGATAATCTCTTCTTCTGAAAAAAAAAAAAAAAAAAAAAAAAAGGAAAAAAAGAGGAAAACCCACATTTTGGTGACCTACTCAACATATTTCACAAATACATGCAATGCTCTTGCACAAATTATTCATACATCATCACCAACTCAAAACAATGAGCCAGATTATCATCATCTGCACTTGCCAAGAAGCCAACCAGTCTGACACTCATTGTGGAATCATAAACATTTATTTCATGTTCTAGCAGGGAAACCTGGCTGACAGAATATGCGCTCATGAGAAATGTCAGAACATGCTGTTGATGCATTACATCACTCCCTTCAACAGCTCATACACTGTACGTGAGGACTCTTCTCCACCCATACAAGCACAAAGCTCTATTTCAAAATACTTTTTCCACTGTTGATTGACATCATTTAGCTCTCTGACATCTAGAAGAAAAGCTTAGCTAGACACTAGACAACCGGGAAAATTTTCAATGGATTTTATAAGATTATTCTCCCATATGGCAGCTAAGTCAGATCAGCCCAAAATTCTGGAATGCTTTTATTGCAGCCTGTAATTCATTACTGTCTCATGTCAAAAGCAATTACTCACCTACACTTGAGTCAAATTCTGAATGGGCTGAAGAGGACAAAAGGTGGTCTGCATACAAAGGCCAGCTGAAGGAAACACCTAAAACAGGAAGAAAAGATCCTTATTACAAGTCAAAAAATGGAAATCATACTTTGTGTAGTCATTTGCTGTAGAAATCCCCTGAACTTAAAACCTTAACTTAAAACTTAAAAACCTAGGTGAGGTCTCTAATCATTAGCACTAATTTAAAAGGGAAACATTTGTAATCAAAAATTTTGTTCTACTTATTTTCTAAATAATAAAAAAATATATAAAAAAAGCAAGCCTCTCTACAAGCATTAAGAAGTATAGACTCTTATAAAATAATAATTAAAGAAACAAAAACAATCAATGGTAGCCTTAGAAAAAAAAAGTGATGTCTCTCTGCTAGATAACTAATTTGTAACTAGCCTCTGTAGGTGATGTATTTGCATGAGTTCAGGCAAATTCACAAAATTTTACTCAGTATGCAACAGTGGAGATTGCTGTCAGTCTGATTACAGCTTTATTTTGAATGAACAAAGTCTAACAAAGCAGAACTCCATTAGTTAACACTACCTCTCCACACACTAAAAAGCCAGCGCTGGAAAATGGTAACACTGATGTCACCAATTGTTTCGTGTAGTCATAGCCAAACAAACTCCACGAAAAGCACTTGCTGTTCCTACATGAACAAATTGAATTACAACCTTCACACGAGGAAGTAAAAATAAACACATTAGTGCCAATTCCAAACTGTTTCCTGGCCAGTTAAGCAAGATGCAAATCATTACTATCAAGAGATGACAACCTCATTTAATCACTGTAATATGAACCACATTAACAAACTATTGCCAAGCACTGCCATATTATGCAACCCAGGAGTGGCTTTCAAGCGCAAAGCAAATGATATCACAACCGTGCAGAGCCACTACTGCACAGGGCAGAGAGCTGCTGAACAGATTCTATACCAGCGTCACCTTGCAGGGAAAGAAGCTACAAGAAGCACTTTGCTGTCTTTGGGTACTTGCTCTATAAACCTTGCCAATGCAAACAGCAGAGCACCAGGCCAGAGCCCTGCAGGCAGGTATCTGAAGCTTGCTGCCCAGCCTCTGGCTGGATGGGATACATGCCATGCTCACTACCACCTCAAGCAATAATAGAATACTTTCCCCCTCTTCATTGAATATAAAGAAATCAGGAATTTAAAGCAGCCCCCAAATCCCTCATTTCACCACATGGCAGGATTCTTTTTGAAGAGCAGATGAGAAAAAAAAGCATACACTTCATTTCAATGTGTTTTACTGGAATGAGGTGTCATGTTTTTAGGATACAATCCACTCATGATTGAAGACGGAGCTGCTGCAAGTTCAGCCACAAGCATTAAACATATTTGGAAATTCCCTGGCAATGCTGTTAAAGGAACAGACATTTCCTGTAATTTTCGGAAACATTTTATATCTCCCCTCCTCCTTCTTAGCCTTGGTGGTAAGAGGGGGGAGGGAAAGAGAGGTCGCTGTATTACAATTGAATGAAATATGAATGAGCCACCCAAGTTTAAAGGGGAAACTTCAGCTATTCGTGTTTAGGAGAGAGTTTAAAAAGAAGTCTTTCATCATTTAGAGATGAGGATTTTTTTTCTGCTGACTTTAGGAAAATATACATCCCTTAATTTAGGGTGAATTACCTGCCTTTTGACTTACTTCTGACAAGTATGGTCCTCCAGGCCTTATTTAAATACCTTTTTTTCTTTTCCAGAGTCAGAGGCCTTTTTTCCTTTCTTGCTCAGGGCCTTCCCTAAGCTGCAGCTGAAGGAACCCAACCAGTTTAGTTACATGGAATGTTCCTTCCACAGCTACAGAGCTGTGGCTCTCCAAAAAACTTGCCCAAAGTCAAGGAGAGACTGAGCAGTCAAGCACCACAGCATCCTTCTAAGGACCTTGGTACCACTCCTTCCCTGAAGGTTTATTCTTGTATGAAGCTTCTAGCACAAAACCTGTTAGTCTGTTCAGCAAGTACTAGCAAGCTTTAAAACTCAGCTGCTTAAATCTGTATAGTCTGAACAGATCCAACTCAAAGCTGAGTGAAAGTTTACAAATTGTACTCAAGCTGGGAAGACAGTCACCTATTCTTACAAATCACAACATGAGCTCTATCTGGTTCCTGCACACAGGATCCATCAATTAGCTGTGGCAGCTGGCAAATTCCACACCTGCTGGTCTTTGACAGCAACTGGATTTTAGCAGGCAATTCAAAGATACAAACTCAACCCCTTATAGGGTTAAACTGCTTTTTGAATCAAATTGTTGAGATCCCACTGTTTCCTTACTCTTTGTTTACAGCAACCACTTTCATGACAAGGTTTCCATCTCCTACACCACCTGCGTGCCCTGAATCACCGGCAGCATTCTGTGCATCTACACAGACCAACATAAGCACACTGTACTAAGAAAAATATTCAAATGAGTGCTCTCAAGAGTAGCGCTAAATAAACATCATGCCTAACAGTTCAAAAAGTTCTTGCTATTTCCTTAAAAAGCTTTCCGAAAGAGAAGATAAGATAGTTCCTCCAAGCCTTCAGATAATGGTTAGCCTTTAAGTTTAATGTTTTTTATCTAGCAAAGATGATTAACTAAGGTAGATCTTAGTTAATGAAGCTTGCTGCCCAGCCTCTGGCTCAATGGGATACGTGCCATGCTCACTACCACCTCAAGCAATAATAGAATACTATTCTATTCTCTAAGGAGCCAAAAATAAAAAACCCAATTCTGATCTGCTAAGTGGTCACTCTACAACAAAAAGAGAAGATAGATCTGAAGCCTCCATACAAGCATCAGACAGATTAAAGGCAGAGGATAATGATGGTATTTTATTAGAGAAACAAATCAGAATAGCTCCCGGGCAAGGCAGGGGCAAGCTTCTTACAACAGACTTTTTAATGGCACTTCTTTAAAACCAAATGACTAAAGCTCACGGTGAGTCAGCCTCCTGTGAGGACAAGAGCCATGTAAACTGCTTTTATGGTAAGCTACGGGTTAAAACGCAATGGCCTTTCACCCATTTGAGGAAATGACACCAGTTCTCCCGGAAGGCAACATGCGCACTCAACCCGTTCACATCGGGGCATGAGAAAGTTTGGAAGGAATTTTTTTTTTTTAAACTGTCAACATTAATACTTTGTTTCTTCCTGCTAGTGCCTGGAAATGCCTGGATGTCCTGTCAGCAGTATAGAGAAGCATCTACCAGCATCTACAAAGCTCACCTAGTCCGTGTTAAAACTACTCTCGAATTCACACCAAAAATCACTGCCATAATGCTTGTTATACAGTGATAAAACACAGAAAAGAGCCCTACAAGATGTACCACAGCAGTCACGCGCTTGTGGTTCCCAAAGGGCAGCCAGTGGCAGGAATGCTGGGCCCCACCAACGTCTAAATGCATATGTGAACTCAGCCTTATGCAGTAAAGCAGATCAGCTTAGCCAGGTTTCTCCCTAAGAGGGACCCCAGAGGTAATGGCATAGGATGAGTGCTCACAGCCAGCATGGTGGAACAGTTTCCAGACATGAGTCCTTGCTAGCAATCAGGCCTTCTCAGCTCCCACAGGCTGTGTTGAGCAGGAAAGAGTGAAGCCAGACAAGGAGTAAGACAGAACTGCAGGTGAGGTGCAGAAAACAAACTAGACATGGATCGGGAACCAAGCTGATTGCCACGGTGTAACTCTGATAGCACACACTGACAACGTAACATGGGATGAAGCAGCCCAGTTCAAGAGCAAAAGCACAATTGATGGCAGCTCACTGGGTCATCTTACACATCATGCCTTCTGGTAGTTTATTCCCATGGGATCCTAAGCATTTTTGTGAATTTGAGTCATGCTATAACAAGGCCTGCAGTGGTGCCAAGGCCATACTTCTTGCACAGTAACTGCAGGACTGAAAAGGGAAGCCATACTGATCTTTACAGTAGAAGGAGAAAGCAAAAGGTGACTTACATTCCTGAGCTGCAGCTCTTACACCTTTATAACCTCTACACCTTTTAAGAAGAGGGAGAAAAGTGGTACCACCACCAAACACATTGATTTCCTTTATGAACTTCTGACAAAACGTGAGTTAAAAATCAGAATTAAGAGGGACCAAGATATTAAAAGTTAAAATCACAAATGATTTCAATACCAAATAAGGTGAATAAACTCTGTTATTATCATCTGATTTAGGTCTTCATCAAGAAATGTCCTGTAGCAGCCTTGCTTGGCCTCCTACAGGATTTTGAAAAGCAGAGAAAAGCAATATGGACATTTTATACTTATCCAGAATTTCTAGAGGTGCTCTGATTTATAAAGTCCTTCTTGTAGTAACCAGAAAAGAACTGACTTTTGCCAAAGGAGTACCAACCTAAGAGGGCTCAATGTACTCCTGCAGTAACTGAAGTAATGCATTGTATCTAACAAATACTTCAAAGGGAGAATAGAGGATACCACCTTCAAAATGCATGGTCCTTTTATTAGCTATTCAGCAATGGAAGAAGCACTACTTACTTCAGTGATTGTGGATTCACCGACAAGTAATACTGATCACTTTTTTTTAACACCTTACTGACTGTAAATACATTCTTGTTGATACTTATGGCAAGTGTTCTGACAATCTGCAGAGTTGCACTAAGAAACTTGTACGTGAGCAGCCCGTATGACTGAGTTAGGTTTTGGTATGCAATTCTAAGCTTGTACCTCCAGGAAACTGATCCTAAAGGATAAAGGTATATGATGGGTGGTCCTTAATCACTTCCTTTAGCTGAAGGCTGAGGTCAGGGTGGAAAAAGAGCCAAGGAAGGAAGTTTGGAGAACCCCTCAAACACAAACACCTTCTTGAACAACTCCTTTGACATTTTAGAAGGCTAACTTGTAGTTTAAATTAAGTAGCAAGAGACTGAGCTAGAAATAAACAGCTTGCACAAGCAACACACTGTGTTATTAAGTTTGTAGAAGTGACTTAAAAATTAGGTCAGTCTAATTTGTGGCTGATACTTTGTTCTTTCACTACTATGAACTCACAATGATGTCAGTCTCATGTTCAAACGTGCCAC